GCATCACAGCTCACAGCAACCTCCAACTCCTGGGCTCAAGCAAGTCTCCTGCCTCAGCTTCCCAAGTAGCTGGGACCACAGGCGCCCGCCACAACGCCCAGCTATTTTTCAGTTGCAGCCGTCATTGTTGTTTGGCAGGCCGGGCTGGATTCAAACCAGCTACCTTGGGTGTTTGTGGCTGGTGCCTTAGCCACTTGAGCCACAGGCGCCAAGCCTTGGGCTCCTCTCTTACTCACAGCTGACTCTAATTCTAAGTGATACAGCCCCTGGGAAATCATGTTGCCCAGTCTCATTCATCTGCAAACCCTACAAATCTGCACTTGGACATCCTTGCTTTTCTTATCATCTAACATGCACTTGTCTTTTCTGTTTCTCAATAAATAACATAATCTGAATTTGTGGTGGACAGACTGACCAGCTGACTTCCTGGGTCTTCTCCTTCCTTTCTGGTGCCTCTTTCCAGCCTCCTTTACTCTCTTCTGTCCACGCCTATGTTCCTTCTTTCTGGACTCTCTGTCTCCTCTCCCTCTTACACTGTCCTGGGGCAGTCTCATTCACTCCCAATATCTGAGTGGCAAACTTGGGGTTCATGCTCACCTGAACAAGCTTCAGTAAATCTTCTGCCATTTTATGCAAAATTGCCAGTGTTTCAGCAAATCTGCACATCAATGTTCATAGTACTTTTATTTATAAGAGTAAAAAACTATAAATAGTTCAGCTATTCTTCAATGGGTGAATGATTAAACTACGGAATAGCCACAGCATAGGTTACTATTAAGCAATTAAAAGGAACAAACTAGCCAGGTGCAGTGGCTCACACCTATAATCCTAGCACTCTGGGAGGAGGAAGTAGGAGGATCCCTTGAGCTCAGAGGTTTTAGACCAGCCTGAGCAAGAGCAAGACACCATCTCTACTAAAAAAAAAAAAATTAGCCAGGCATTGTGGCGAGCACCTGTAGTCCCAGACACTCAGGAGGCTGAGGCAGGAGGATCACTTGAACCCAGAAGTTTGAGGTTGCGGTGAGCTAGGCTGACAGCACAGCACTCTAGCCTGGGCAACAGAGTAAGACTCTGTCTCAAAAAAATAAATAAAATAGGGTGGTGCCTATGGCTCAAGGAGTAGGGTGCCAGCCCCATATGCCAGAGGTGGTGGGTTCAAACCCAGCCCCTGCCAAAAACTGCAAAAAAATAAATTAAATTAAATTAAATTAAAAAAACAAATCTATTAATACAACAACTTGGATGAATCTCTAGGAAATTATGACGGGTGAATAAAGCCCATCTTCCAGGTCATGTACTAAATGATTCCATTTATATTACATTCTTGAAATGACAAAATTTTAGAAAGGGAGACAGTTCAGGGTACCAGGCAGCAAGGATGGTGGGAAAAGGGGAGCGATTCTGGGTGTGGCTATGAAAGAGCAACACCTTATAGAGATGCAACTGTTCTTCTGTAGATTGACTGATGATGACACACTATAGTTTTGCAAAATGGTACCAATGGGGAAAACTGGGTATAGGATACTTGGGAATCATTCTATTATTTCTTACCACTGCATGCAAATCTACAGGAAAAAAAAAAAAGATTTCAAAATAAAAACTTTGCCAGCCATATGGGCTCACACCTGCAATCCTATTACTTTGGGAGACTAGGAGGGAGGATCATCAGAGGCCCCAATTCAAGATTAGCCTGGGCAATACATGGAGACACCCTCCACCTCTATAAAAAAAAATTTTTTTAATTACCCAGGCTTGTGGCATATGCCTGTAGTCCTAGCTATTCAAGAGCCTAAAATGGGAAGATTTCTTGAGCCCAGGAGTTCCAGGTTGTAGTGAACTCTGGTCGAGCCACTGCACTCCAGCCTGGACAATAGTCCATCTCAAAAAAACAAATTAATTACATTAAGTTAAAAAATGAAAAGTTTCATTTTTTAAAATCCAGCCTAAAAGTTAACTCAAAGAAATGTGTCATCCCCCACCCCTAAATTTATTCCTCTCTCAGTAATCCTCATCCATGAAAACAGGGCACCATTGTCCACCAGCCACAGCCCATGGGTTACCCCTGGATTCTTCTCTCAACACATTGCTCCTCCCTCCCCATGTGCCTCAAATCCACTTTCTCTCCATCCCCACAGCTGTCCCCTAGTCCAGGCCACTATCAGTTCTCCATTGGACAACCTCAGTACCCTCATCAGTCACCTCCCACTGCTACTCCAGTCTTCCCAGTGCAGCCTGGGTGAACTTTATAAAACCTACATCAGATTATGCTGCTTCCCTGCTGAAAACCCTTTCTTAGCTTCACACTAATCCCAAGATAAAGTTCAGAAGCTTCATCAAATCCAATGAGGCCTCATCTCTAGCTGCTCACCAACACTTGAACTGTGGATCCTAGGTGACCTCCCTTCACCTAGGGCTCTGCAAATGCAGCTCCCACTGCCTGGGTCATTCTGATGACCCTGTTCTCTGGATCTCCCACAATCCTGTGGCCCTTTCTCCTGACCCCCACATCCACCACTCCCATTTTCTTCACAGCAACAAGGCCAGCTAAGGTCATCTTCTTTTACTGTTATCTTTCCTATAATTCCATAATTTTTTTTTTGGAGACAGAGGGTCACTTTGCCACCTTTGGTAGAATGCCATGGCATCACAGCTCACAGCAACCTCAAACTCTTGGGCTTAAGTGATTCAAGTAGCTGGGACTATAGGCATCCACCACAGCACCAGGCTATTTTTAGAGACAATGTCTCACTTTGGCTCAGGCTGGTCTCCAACCTGTGAGCTCAGGCAATCCACCTGCCTCACCCTCCCTGAGTGCTAGGATTACAGGCCTGAGCCACAGCACCCAGCCAATAATTTTTTAATTTCAAAATATTAAGGAGGTACAAACATGGACTGCTTTTGTAATGATTGAGTCCCAGCTTCAGGTGTGCCCATCCCCAAGTTAGTGTTCATTGGACCTATTAGGTAAGTTTTTGCCCCTCCCTTCCACTTTATAATTCCATAGTTTCTTTTCTTTCCTTTTCTTTATTTGTTTTTTTGTTTTTTGAGACAGTCACACTCTATGCCCTGGGTAGAGTGCCCATGTGTCATAGCTCACAACAATCTCAAACTCTTGGGTTCAAGAGATCCTCTTGCCAAGTAGCTGGGACTACAGGTGCCAGTCACAACGCCCAGATAGTTTTTCTATTTTTAATAGAGAAGGTCTGGCTCTTGATCAGGCTGGTCTCCAACTCCTGACCTCAAGCAATCCACCTGCCTCCGCCTCCCAGAGTGCAAGTATAATAGGCGTGGGCCACTGCATCCAGCTATAATTCCACAATTTCTAGTAAATACTTTTTCTATAATTTCTCTTTCCCACCAAATTGTGGGGCAGGGACTGCGTGCCTGGCTCAGTAAGTATTCCTAAAATGGAATCCTTCTAGATGGGAGGGTTACCCATTTCCTGGTGAAAACTGTTTTGTTTTGTTTTGTTTTTTGAGACAGAGTCTCATTATGAGGCCTCGGTAGAGTGCCGCTGTATCACAGCTCACAGCAGCCTCAAACTCTTGGGCTTAAGCGATTCTCTTGCCTCAGACTCCCAAGTAGCTGCTGGCCACAAGGCCCAGCTATTTTTTTTTTTTTTTTTTTGCTGTTGTTGTTGTCGTTGTTTAGCTAGCAGGCCCCTGCCAGGTTTGAACCAACCAACCCCAGTGAATGTGGCCAGTGCCCTAACCTCTGAACTACGGGCGCCAAGCCCTGGTGAAAACTCTTTATCCACCGATAAGGCAAGTTGGCTGAGATCTAGGAGACCCAGGACTCAAAGCCTCAGCCTCACACTGCCAGGCCAGTACCCAGTTTGTACCGTGTTATACCCATCTCATCCCCTCCTCCAAGAACAATCTTGGTCTGTATTTATCAAAGTATCTACTCTGTGCCATGGCCCCAAGCAGCTAAGGCTGGCCTTCCTGACGCCCAGCAGATGCACATGGAGGCGCTCAGTGTTAGCTGTCTCCCCAATGTCCGCAAGTCTCTGAACCCGAGGAACAATCCCATCCCAGGTTCTTGCAGGACACGGGACAGTTAGACGGCACCCAGTGTTTGCAGGCTAGGGTTCGGGAGCACCACGTCCGAGGCAGGTACATGGTCGGCACCTATCATTTCTCAGTCTGAGTTTGTAAAACTCAGCATGGTGCAGGGTGCGTGTGCTGGTTTGGGTCTGTGAACTCCCGAGTCCCGGTTTTGCATACAGGTGGCGCCTGTCTTTCCTGGGCCATCTGGGTATCTGAATTTAAGATAACCACATTCCAGCACCAGGCACTCGGCTGGCTCAACAGAAGTGCAGGCCGCCAAGGCTCTCCAGCTCGGCAGCTGCTCCCGCACCACCGTCCTCTCTGGGCAGCCCTAGCCGGCTGGCGCCGACAAAGCCACCTCCCTCGCTGCGGTTGTTCCAGGTCTGGCCGGCCGCCGCCCTCAGTTGTTTCCCCAGGAACCCCCTCTGCGCCCGCCCCAGGCCCCACGGCGTGAAGCTGTTCTGGTCCCGCGGCCGCCCTCCCCGCCGGGCCACCAATCCTCGGCTGTTCCGGGCCTGGTGCCCCCCGCCGGGCCTCGGTTCCTGCGGCTGTTCTGGTCCCGTCTCCCCCCACCCCTGCCCGGCCTTGGCTCCCGCGGCTGTTCCTGCTTGCGCCCCTCCCGCCCCGCGGCTGTTCCGGCCCCGGCACCCTCCGCCCCGCAGCCGCCGCGCGCCCTGGGCCGGGCGCTGCGAGGGCGCGGCGGGAGGGGGCGCGGCGCGGAACAGCCGCCTCCCCCGGCCCTGCTGCCGCTCACCCTCCAGGGCCTCAAAGATCGCCTGCGCCATCTTGAAGCCGTCGCCGTCGCCGCTGCGGGAGCTGAAGCGGGGCTACGCGAGCATTGTGGGAACCGCGGCGGCGGCGAAGAGACCGCCAGGGGGCGCCCGAAGCCGCCGACGAGCCCACGGCCCTGGAACCCCAGCCTTGGCTCGAGGGAACCGCAGCATTCTTCGGCTCTCCTGGCCCGGCCTTGAAGACCCAGTTGTCAACTCCTGTTCTCCTCACTCGAACGTCATCTGTACTTGGACGCTCCGGAATCCGCCACACATGGGCCCTCCCAACCCTATTACTATATCTGAACCCCTGTCCCCCACCTCACCTGATCCCCAGCTCTCACACACACCCCGACCCTATTTCCACCGTGCACAGTGTACCCTACTTTGCAACCACAGCCCCCAGACCACCCAGCCTGGAGGATTCCCTCCAGCGGTGCAGCACAGATTGCCTTCTCCTCCATAGACTGGTCATTCCTCCTCCCTCAGCGATCCTCACCTCTGCCTTTTGGGAGCCACCTGTCCTCCCTTCTCTGCCCAAGGCTGTTACTAACCCCCCCATTCCACCTTCTGAGAACCTCCATTTCCTCTCCACACAGGCCTCCATCCCTGCTCGTGGGACCCCTTTTCTGTCACATGAATCCCAATACCCACCTCAGCCACTCCAGCCCCACCTCTTAGGGGCCGCATCCAGGTTCCCCAGGATGAGATGTGCCCCTCATTCAGACCCCAATCCCGTACTGTCCCTGTCTTCATTTATGCTCCATAGATGAGGGCCTGCTGCCATAGGTCTGGAATTACACTAGTTTTTTTCCAAGGAGTGAGGTCTGGGGGAAGAAGACATTAATTAATTAATTAATTTTTTTTAGAGACAAGAGTCTCACTTTATTGCCCTGGGTAGAGTAGTGTGGCATCACAGCTCACAGCAACCTCCAACTCTTGGGCTTAGGTGTTTCTCTTGCCTCAGCCTCCCAAGTAGCTGGGACTACAGGCCCCTGCCACAACGCCCGGCTATTTTTTTGTTGGAGTTTGGCCGGGGCCGGGTTTGAATCAGTACATGGAGCCAGCGCCCTATTCACTGAGCCACTGGCACCGCCCCAATTATCATTTTCTTAAATTCACTAAATATATTAATACTGCTCATAATATTTATATTTGAAATCACTTTAAATATATATATTTATATTTAATCTAATTATATAATATATGAATATAATTATATTTAATATATTTGTATAAGTATAATTACATTTAAAAATTATATGTAATTTAGTATATTGAATATTAAATATATAATAGTAAAAAATATTCATGTTTGGGCTCAGTAGCTCACACTTGTAATCCTAGCACTCTGGGAGGCAAAGGTGGGAGTATCCCTTGAGCTCAGGAGTTCAAGACCTGCCTGAGCAAGAGCAAGTACCCCTCTCTACTAAAAATATAAAAACTAGGCTGGGCGAGGTGGCTCACACCTGTAATCCTAGTATTCTGGGAGGTAGGTAGATTGCCTGAGCTCAGGAGTTCGAGACCAGCGTGAACAAAAAAGCAACCCTGTCTCTACCAAAAATAGAAAAACTGGGCTCAGCATCTGTAGCACAGTGGTTCTGGTGCCAGCCACATGCACCGAGGCTGGTGGGTTCAAACCTGGCCCTGACCAGCTAAAACAGCGATGACAACTGCAACAAAAGGTGGTAAGGCATTGTGGTGGGCTCCTGTGGTCCCAGCTACCTGGAGGTTGAGGCAAGAGGATTGCTTGAGCCCAAAGAGTTTGAGGTTGCTGTGAGCTATGATGCCATGACACTCTACCAAAGGCAAATGAGAAAGACCCTTGTCTCAAAAAAAGAAAGAAAGAAAAGGAAAACTAGCAGGGCGTTGTGGCAGACTCCTGAAGTCCCAGCTACTAGAAAGGCTGAGGCAAGAGGATTGCTCTAGACCAGGATTTTGAGGTTGCTGTGAGCTATGACAGTATGGCACTCTACCCAGGGCTACAGAGTGAAACTGTCTCAAAAAAAAAAAACAAAACTGCAATATGTTAATACATTCACATTTATTTAATTTAAAAATATTTGTTGAGTGCCTACTGTGTGGCAGATACTGTTCTAGATGCTGGGACACAGCTTAGAACAAAAAGAAAAAAGTATTTGCCTTCATAGAGTCATAGTCTAGCAAATGTGATGGGCAGTAAATATTAGTAAGAACAAAAAGAGAGAGAAATGTTCTGTAACTTTAAGTGATTTTTTTCTGGGAGGAGGAAAAGCTACTTTAGACAGAATGGTCAGGAAGGGCCTCTTTGAGTAGGAGGACCTCCAGACAGGAGATGGAGTCAGCTTAGTGAAAAGAGAACAAAAAGGCAAAAGGATGGGCAAATGCAAAGGTCCTGAGGCCAAAATGAAAGGAAACCAAGACTGTAAAGGGGCAGTTGAGGGTAGTAGGTGAGGTATGGGTAGAGGGGGGTAGGGATGGAGAGATGGCCAGGACCACAGTAAGGATTTGGGTTCTATCAGGTTATATCCTGAGGGTGATTGGGGATAAAGACAGTAAAAAATCCACCAACACAAGGCAAAGCAAGCCTTGGCAGCTTTCTGTCTATTTCCATACTTCCAAACGCATATGTAAACAGATTTTTATCTGTACTGCAGGCCTTTGAACATGCTGTTCCCTTTCTGAAATGCCGTCCCTTATTGCAAGAATAGGAGCTTGCCTTCTCACGCTTTCCAGATCACCAGGGTGAACTCCATCCCTTTAGGTTCTCAGAGTAGCTAGTACAACTCCCTATCATGTGACATTCTCTGGCTATTGGCAGGTCCCCCACCCCTAAGAAGGAGCTCTCTCAGCAGGGGAGACACTACATCCATTCAAGTTGGACCTCAGGGAGTGGCACAGAGACAACATGGGATGCTTCACTGAAGGCTTGACATATGGGACAACTGAATGAGATTCAAGGAGGGAGAGCGCCACCACCACCAGGTTCGCCACTGCTATTAACTTTATACTCCTGCTATTTTTTCCTCCACCAAAAAGTTATCAGTCCCATGTCCCATTCCCTCAGGGCCACCTGGTTGGCTCTGAACAGAATCTAATCACAGCTTAACAGCCTCCTGGAGTAAATAATGAAGTAATTCCAGGCAAAAAGCCAAGTAGGAAGGAGAGAAGATTTGGGAAATTTCTAATGTCCCACTCCACAGTGAGTGCTTCAGCCACTCCAGAAAAGGTAATTTCTGTATAGGGAGGGGAAAGTGGTGAGCAGCTTAAACCAGACCCCTTGCTGTAAGGGGAAGAAAGTAAGGACACAAAGCAATGCTGGGTTCCGACATCTTGTTAGGTTTGTTGGTACTGGTAGGAGGCAACAAAGAATGGTGGCTGTTGTGGACTAAGTTGTGTCCCCCCCATCAAAATTCATTTGTCAGGCCGGGCATGGTGCCTCACATCTGTAATCCTAGAGCTCTGGATAGCCAAGTGTTTGAGGCCAAGGTGGGTGTATTGCCTGAATTCACGAATTAAGACCAGCCTGAGCAAGAGCCAGAGCCTGTCTCTAAAAATAGCTGGGTTTTGTGGCAGACATCTGTAGGCCTAGCTACTCGGGAGGTTGAGGCAAGAGAATTTCTTGAGCCCAAGAGTTTGAGGATGCTGTGAGCTATGATGCCATAGCATTCCACTGAGGGCGAAAGAGTAAAACTCCATCTCAGAAAAAGAAAAGAAAATAGTGACTAATTCTCACATAAATTGGATTAATTTTGACCAAAGTACATTACTTAAACATTAATTTTTAATTCAACCTGGTAATAGGTTGTTTAGGATATTGTATCCTCATTTATAAGTGAAATATGTTTGTAATTTCCCCTTTATAATAATATATTTTCTCCAATTTTAATATCAGGTATATCCAGATTAAGTAGAATGATTTTGAAGTATTTCTTCTTTTTATATTGTCTATAAGATTTGGCATGATCTGTTTTTTTAAATTATCTTTTATTTATAAATATTAGTTGTTTATTTTTTGAGACTTTGGAAAAAAATAAGAAGTTAACTGATGATTCAATACTGAACCTCAGAGTCAAAGCATTCTATAATAGACATACTCTTATTTGACAATGTGAATGTGACTTTCTTTGCATTATTATTATTGCTTAATATTTTGATGCAGCAATCATCTGATTTCTTTTCTGAATATATTTATCTTTGTTCGTTCTTTACAAGGTTTTTGTTTCTAGTCCTTATCTTAAACATTGTTATTGTTATTAAATTTTAAGCCTTTTTAATTTTGTGAAGGCAAAAAGTAGAAACCTAATAAACACGTGTATATGTAAAAAATAAAATAAGAAAAAAATTCATATGTCAACATCCTATCCCCAAGTATCTCAGAATGTGACTATATTTGGAGACTGGGCCTTTAAAGGAATAATTAAGGGCCTGGCATGGTGGCTAATGCCTATAACCCCAGCACTTGGGAGGCTGAGGAGGGAGGATTGCGTAAGCACAGGAGTTCAAGAACAGCCTGAACCAGAGCAAGACCCCCATCTCTAAAAATAGCCCAGCGTTGTAGCGGGTACCTATAGTCCCAGCTACTCGGAAGGCTGAGGTAAGAGGATCACTTGAGCCCAAGTGTTTGAGGTTGCTGTGAGCTGTGATGCTATGGCACTCTATGGAGGGTGACAAAGTGAGACTCTGTCTCAAAAAAAAAAGGGGGAGGTGTAATTAAGGTTAAATTAAGGTCATATAGGTAGGCTCTAATCTGATATGATTGATGTCCTTATAAGATGAAATTAGGGCCCACATAGAGGGGGTGACCATGTGAGGACATAGTAAGAAGGCAGCCATCTGCCATGCAGGGAGAGAGGACTCAGGAGAAATCACACCTGCTGAGACTTTGGTCTTGGATGTCTAGCTTCTAGGATTGTAAGAAAGTAAATTTCTATTGCTAAGCCATCCAGTCTATGAGACAATATTTTGTTATGGTAGCCTCAGCAAACTAATACAGTGGCTAAGATCAGAGACTCTTGAATTCAAATCCTGGCTCCTTCACTTAT